TGAGATTAGTCTTCCTTCACCTCAGTTGCAGAGCTCAGTATAATGACACATGTAAGCTTCCAGCAAATTTGCCAATCATCTGTTTTACTGGAAGGCAGTGAAGCTGCCTAGCAGCTTCAGAATGCAGTTCACAATTTGAAACTATAGTCAGAAGAGGAGGTACATCCTGTGTCTTCCAGCAATAGCCTGCATCTCCACTCTCTGCAAAGCACACTGCCTAGCAGTGCTGCTTCTGGTCACAGTGATATCTTGAAAAATTCACTTTGTGAATTCGACACAACAAATTCAGTAGGAGACAACCCCATGCAACACGAATATCAAAAAACCTAATATGTTTTTCGTTTTTCAATGCCCTTGTGTATTCAAACTTTCTGTGCAGTTTTTTGTTCATATTTCACATTATGTTCAAAGAAGTTTGCTCAGCAAAGACAAGAAAAGATGGATTTTTTTAAAACATTCAAAGCATACTGCCTTACTGGCAAAACTTAGCAGGAATACTTTGGCATTGAATACCATGAGGTGGAAACAACATTCTTGACACCACCCAGAAAAAAGATGCCGAGATTAACTGGCATTGTTATCATCTGCAAACCAAGCTGGAACACTGACCTACAGCTAACTGCTTAAACACATAAAATCTCCCTCACAGCAGGCATGCAAAAGTTGGTGCTGTTCAGCCTGGAGAAGAGAAGGTTGTGTGGAGACTTGACAGCAACCTTCCAGTGTCTGAAGGGGCCTACAGGGAAGCCAGAGAGGGACTGTTCATCAGGAACTGTAGTAACAGAAAAAGGAGTAATAGGTACAGATTGAAAGAGAGGAAATTTAGGTTAGAGACACAGAAGGAATTCTTTACTCTGAGGGTGGTGAGGCACTGGAACAGGGCGCCCACGGAAGTTGTGGATGCCCCATACCTGGAAACGTTCAAGGCCAGGCTGGATAGGGCTTTGAGCAACCTGGTCTAGTGAAAGGTGTCCCTGCGCATGGCAGGGAGGATGGGACCAGATGACCTTTAAGGTCCCTTCCAACCCCTTCTCATCCATGCAAGCGACAATGCCACTCTCGGGCGCCTCCAGAACAGGGTCCCTCCGCCCGCCGCCTTCCCCGGCCCCGTCGGTTCAGCCGCCAGCCCCTGAGGGGGTCACGGCCGCGGAGACCACCCCGGGGGGGCTCAGGCGGCTCCCCGGCGGCGCCACCTCCGCGCCCTCGTCCTCGCAGGGCGCCGGCCGGAGCGGGCCCGCCCAGCGCCGCGGCCCCACACTCACCCGTCCGGGGCCCAGAGCCGCGCCGTCCGGTCCCGCGAGACGGACACGAAGCCGCCCTGCGGGAAGAGGCCGCGGGTGAGGCCCCGCACGTCCTGGCCGTGCCCCAGGAGGGAGCAGCGCAGCCGGAACGCACCTCCCTCGCCCGCCATGGCGGCAGCGCCCGCCTGACACAGCACGGCCGCGCGCCGGAACCCGCGCCGGAAGTGCCGTCTCCGGGCGCGCCTCTTGGGCTCCCCGGGACTCCATGTCCCGGCAGGCATCGCGCCCCTCTCGCGATGCCTCCTGGGAGTTGTAGTCCTCGCGGGCTGCAGCGGGTGGAGCGGGATTTGCGCCCCTCGCGATAGCAGTGCGCGCCGTTGCCGCGATACCGCGGCGCGGTGAGGGGCCGGGGCTGGGGCCGGGGCTCGCCGGGCGGGAGCGGCTCCGCGGGGCAGCAGGCGGAAGCTGCCGGGGTGATATAAATCGGGATTGTATAGCGGATATAACGTATTTAATCCATCGGGGGTAGCGCGGTCGCCTTGGTGACTGGCGGCGGTTTACGGACCGTCTCCAGATAACTCAAGTGGTTATTTGCAACAGCGGCTCGCTTCCACTTTGTTTCTTGAAAAACTTGCGTTCTGTGGGCAGGTACTGAAGCAATAAATGCCACACGAATAAGCCGAGAGCTGATTGAGCACTGAAAAGGGGCTAGTGCCTCACCTTACTCACGGACCTTGCGTGGTCTTTCCTGAGCCCTGTCGCTGCCTCGTACCGACCGGTCAGGAAGTGCTCTGCAGAGTCCAAAAAAGCCAAAAAAAAAAAAATAAAAGAACCCCCTAAACTTATATTAATAAGGGAAAGAGTTAAGCTTTAAAGAGTTGGTCTCCGACAGTATTAAGGACCCCGTGCAAATCAAAGGACTGTTTCTCTTCTTTCCAGAGAGAAGTTGAAAAACAGACAAAAAATGGCCAGCAGTCACAGACCTCCAATAGCTCGTTCTTCCTCAAGAGCAGGAATAGGGCTGACCTCGAGGCCTGCCTCTTCATCACGGACTCCATCAGCAGCCAGAATAGGAACAGCGGTATGTTAAAAACATTTATTATTAACTTTGATATATTTAGATTTTTATCCTTTTTTTTTTTGCTGCTTCTTTTTTTTTTCCCAGTACCATCACTGGAGTAATTTTTTTTTGTTTGTTTGTTTTTTTTGTTTTGTTTTGTTTTGTTTTAGTTTTTTTATTACGAACTTTTAGATTTCAATTTTGTAGAAAGTTTTCGGTTCTACTTTTGACTGAAAGGGGTTAAGGAGGTCCAGCATCAAAAGTTCACGTGGGAGACCTTAATAGCATTAGTGTTGCAGACAGATGGAACAATGAACAGCTGCTCAAAGGTAATCCCTTACCCTTCTACAGCAGACTTTTGACTAAAGCTTTGTTTTCCTGAAGAGATGTAAATGCTAAAACATGCTTATACAATGAGTATAGAGGCTGACTTGATGTTTTTGATTGCTTTGGCAATTGCATTAGGTAATAATTAGGAGGTTTGTCGTTTGACTTTTTTTTTATAGATGCCTCCTAGTACGGCAAGACCTGGTTCTCGTGGTGGTTCTTTGACTGCTGGAGGAGTTTTATCATCTCAGATTAAAGTTGCAGACCGTCCAGTGACTCAACAAGGATTAAGTGGAATAAAAACTGCGATGAAAGGTATTTTGTATAGAAAACAGTTGTCGAGATATCTGCAGGTGTTTTAAAGGAATATTTAGGTGTTTAAAGGAAAACTTTTCATTACTGTATAAATTCCAGAGTGAATAGCTGTGATTAAAAGGAGTATGAGAAAGAAAATGAAGGTTAAAGCGTGCCTTTTATTGTCATTGCTCTTAGCAGTCAGAGAAGACAAAGACTTTTCTGTACTTGAGCTGTGTTTAAGAATCATTCAAAACAATAGAACAAAATTAATTGCATCTTCATCATCACTGCAGAATAATTAAAATATTCTGTTATATTGTAATAGTAATGTTTATTTTCACAACAGTCTAAAAATGCCTTTTCTTTTAATGAGATATCTGTTTAACAACACTAAAATATAACAGTTTTCTGCCAGTGGATTTTTCAAATTATTTTCATAATTTACAGTTCATCAAAATTAGGTTTTTTCTAACAAGATAACATATTGCTCTCCTTTATCAGGTCCCCAGAGACAGATAATGGATAAAACCTATTACCTTGGGGTGCTGAGGTACGTGTTTACAATACATTCAAACTACATCAGATTTAGTGCCCTGTTCTCTTTCAGACCCAGAGTTTAAGCTTAACAATAGTGTGGGACAGGTGGTGTTCACTTACTGAACTGTTACGGGAGTCCTGCTATAACAGTTAAGGTTATTTTGCATATAGTTTGTAGGAAGAAAGGAACTTCATGCTTATGTCCAAGTACAAGTAGATTCCTTTAATGATCTGTAGTTAGGCTTGCTAAGTTAAATGCAATCCCACAGCATTAGTAAGAGGAGGGTTGGTGACTTTGAGCTTCCGCCTGTAGTGCTTGATAGGTCCCATAGCTCCATTTGTATGTAGCATTGCAAACAAAACACTTTTTAGTGTACATTACTTGGATTATACATTGAGCTAACAAGGACAATGGCAAGACCTGGTGGAAACTGTTGCATATGGATCTTTTTCAGTTGATCATAATGCAGGTTTCAATAACCAGTCCTAAAAGATGTCATTTTAAATATGAATGATATTCACATTCTGTGAAGTTATCCTGTTTTCTGTCCATTTAAGAATGATTCACACCTGTTTTACCAGCAGGAACAAAAAGCTGATTAAAATATTTTATTTGACATCAAAGTTTTATAGCAACTGCTTATGACTTTGTCTGATACAACCACTTTGCTTTTTTCCTCACTTATTTAGCTCTTCTTTGAAATGCTGATTAGAAAGAGTGCAATGCAGTGAGATACTAATTGTAAATCTCCTGTAGTAAAATTTATTTTCTAGCTGTGTTTTAGTCCTACATCCAAATGTTAATGATTTTTTTGTTTGTTTTTTTTTCAGAAGCAAAACAAATGAACTCACAACAGAAATTAACAAGCTGCAGGAAGAAGTAGAAATGTACAAGCAAGAGAAATCTGTCTATTTGTCATATGAAAAACGGTAAGATGTATTGCAGCTAATGCAGTGCTGACTTTCTCAGACACAAGACTATTCTTGAATATTGGGCAGGCTTCAAGAAACCATTAAATAATTTTTTTTTCGTTTTTTTTATTTTTACATATACAAATCTTCCCACCTTAAGTTTGACTTTTTCTTTTGTATTTAGGGCAGAGGCATTAGCTAGTGAAATCAAGGAATTTCAAGGTCAACTAGCAGACTTCAACATGGTATGCTGATGTCAAATTTTGATACTGAGTGCTCTTCCTTCTCTAATTTATTCTCTCATTTACTTTGTACTGCTTTTGCTTTACTTCAGCATCTTTTTTATTGACATTTCTCAATAAAAATGTACTGGTTAATGCTACATTTCTTTGGTTATTGGAAAGGAATGAGATGGAAGCTAAGGAAAACATAAAAAAAAAAAGGAAGTGTACTGTACATAGGAGAAATGGCTGTCTATATTCAGGGTTTAGAACAGCTACATGTAATGATGATTAGTTTTGAAAAAGACATGTAATCTGTTCAGATTCCCAGATCACGTTTTTTCCGTTTGGAATAACTGAAAGTTTCTGTGTTTTCACGAACGCTATGCCTGGTTTATTTATTGATTTTTTTTTTTAATTAAAAAAAAAAACAGGAGAGCAATAATAGGCTGGAATTCTGTCTCATTTCAGGTTATGGATATACTTAACACCAGTACAGATATGGCAGAAGTGAGTCGCGATTACAATATGGTAAGAATTATGGTATTTGCTATGTTTTAACAGCGAAATGGTGTGTGTTACATTCTTGGTGCTTTGCATGCATGACATATCTAAAAAAGCATAGCACTAATTTAAAACTTATCTATTTTTCTCGGTTAAATTATTCATAGTATTAGCAACATGTTTGTACTTAGGTAATTATTTGAAGTATTGCATTAACAGCCCCATAGTAGTTTCCTGTGGTGTACGAAACCGACCCAAATTATGATTGTTAAAACATCTTCTTTCTTTTCCTGGGAGGACTAGTCATAGGGAAGACAAATTCAGGTAGACTGCACTGCCTTTTAAAACTGGCTGGTCTTCTGAACATTTAATTCTCTTTTGTCTTCAGCCTTTTGAATGTCTCTTGCATAATAAGTATTAAATAGGTCTCTGACATGGCCAGCCACAAAAATCAATGAGTTTTTTTCTTCCTTTACTTTCTTTCTTTATTTTCTAGCACAGGTATAGTGTTCCTCTAAGTGTTAAGGCATGAGTGGCATTAAGCATGTTTCGTTTCTTCTGATCACTTTGTCCTTAAACAAAAGAATCTAGTTTCAGAAAAGGCTGTTTTGCTCACTTGAAAAATGATCTGAATATTTCTTGGTCAAAACAACTTTGTTCTCTGATTAAAAAAATAAAGACCCAGTGTCTGTGTCAAGAAAAGAAAAATGCTTTGCGAGTGTTAAATTTTCATTTTGTTTGGAGGCTGAAACAGTATTTTACTAAGTGTTCCAGGAACAGATCCCACAGTAACAGTAAGTGAATCAATTTCTCTGGGGGTGTTTAAAAGATGCATAGATATGATACTTAGGGACATTGTTTAATGGTGAACGTGGCAGTGCTGGGTTAAGGGTTGGACTTGATCTTGGAGGTCTTTTCCAACCTAAATGATTCTATGATTTATTATAAACTTGATTGTATTTCAATATTATATCTTTTAAGTTAAAGGTTCAGAATGACCAAGACGCTCAGAGTATGGATAAAATCTTCACAGAAAGACAAGCGTAAGTACATTAAGTATGTGCTTCTCCAAAGCTGTTAAGACTATAACTGAACTCCAGAAAATGGAGGTGTTACTTCCTACCTCAACAGTGGGATGCATATCACACATGATACCTGAACGGTTTCAAGGTAATGCATTAGTACCAGATTGCAGCTAGAGTTCCTAGGTTTAAACTGCAGTAACTGCCCTGGAGATACTTACCAAGATGTCCAAGAAGTTAGGTGGTGGTGGAGACTGCTGTCTTGGCAATCTGCTGTCAAAGTCCTCAGTTTTGGGAGTTGTGGAGTAACAGAGTGAGGAAAACAAGCAGAAGTGGGAACTAAATCTTTACCTACCTGGTAAGGTAGGGTTGTGTAGAGGGAAAGATGAGGACAGCAAGATTTTTCCAATAGGAATTTGTAAGCCAGGAGAATGGCTTGTGTAGCGATAGGCTGAGACAGTGACTTTTTGAGATGTTTGATTTAGGGACAGGAGATGTGCTTGGTACATGATTGTGCTTGTTACCACTGAAAGCAATCTCAAGAATGAGATTTTATATATCAATAAGCACTTTGAGAAAACAGCTTACCAGTTTATAACAAGTCACATTTCAATAATACTGTTGCTTTCAACAGCTCGCAAATGGGTCTATTCTACCGATGAATGCATTTTTAAAGTGTTAAGGAAATCTGAAGAGAAAGTACTTGGTTCAGTAGCAAACTAAGGTATAAAGGCATTAGGTACACTGGAATGATAATTTGTCATTGTACTGTACATACACATTTAAGGGAATACAGCAATTGGTCTTTCTTACTCTGCTAATTTAGGTAGAACAATACCCAAATGCTGTGTTGTACGATTATGTTGGTTTTGGCTAATAGACTACTGAGCTGTGACAACACTGATTTGAATTCAATCCCCAGTCTGACTGTGGTGTGCTTCAGAATGTTGGAGAAATTATTTTTGTTTTCTAGACCTCTTCGCAATTAAAGCGTTAGTGATTGTGCCAGCTTCACTTGCTATTTTTTAAAGTAGCAAGTAGTACTTGTTCATGTTTAGCAATATACAGTAAGCACTCCCCATGCCCTGACATAAGTAGCCAAATAGATTTTCATAAAGCGTGCATTATAAGTATTTTTGCATGTTTTGAAGTATTTGTTGTGCCAGTAATGCATGCATACCACCACATTTTTGAACTTCATGATTGATGCAGCAAAACCTTATTATGGATTTGTCGAGATGAAAGGAGATAGACTGCATAACTTCATTTTGTATTGTACATGAGTAGTGTAAAATGGAAGTACAAGTGTTCTACATTTTTGAAAAGTCAGTGCATTATTCGTTGTTTAAGACATTAACTCTCCTCATTTACATAAGAATCAATGTATTTATCCTCAATAAATCCATCTTCTCCATCCCCAAATGCATGAATTTTCTCAAAGATTACAATGGGTTCTTCACTGTTTGTACCCAGTACTGAAGGAGAAGGGCTCGTGTCAGCTGAGAACTCCTGTTCAAACCTCTCTGGGTCATTTTCTTCCAGACGACGGTGTCGGTAGCTGATCACATAATGATACCATGTTGGGCATTTTACAGCAGTAAAAATCAGGAGTGTAGTGCCTAGGACAAACCCTAGGACACCCGCCAGGAAGGTCCAACTTTTGCCAAGAAGTGGTAACTCTTTAAAATAAACAGGAAAAAAGAATTGTAATTTTCATGAGGAATTCTAGCAAGGGCTCTAGTAGGTTTTTTTTTTCATAGTTAAATTGAGAACTCACAAAATAAACAATGATAGAGAATTAGTGAGTGTCTACAGAGCTTTAGTATAATGTTATTGCTATGCTATTAAGGAGTCAGTAACATCACAGAGACCAAAAATATATGTGCATCTCATATTTCTAGTAATATAAATCTACCATGCATATTTATAAAAAATAATAGTTTCAAAGTCAGATAAAGTTCCAGGAACATATAAAAGATAACATAATTTTTTTTCAAAATTTAAATACAAAAATTAGGCTTTGGGAAAAAATGATCAGCAATTGACTTCAAATTCTGTTTCCCAGGCTTAATTTTCTGTGTGGGGATGATGTCTGCACCCTAACATATTATGCCTTTTGTTTGGTATATGCCTTCAGTTGTGTTTCTTTTATAGTAAAAAAGTCAATAAGACTTGCCATTAGTCTTTATTTAGAAGCTGATTTTGTGTACCTGCCACAGTTCTAAAATAGATTATAGCCTGGTACAGCTAAAGAAGTGTGTGGCAGTGGTGGCTTATGATTTGTGTATATATCTGTAGATTGATACAGATGCTTTGCCAAAAGCCAAACTAGAATATTAGAGAATAATGATGGAATTAACATAGAAAGGTGAGGAGAGTGTCACTGAAATTTCCAAAAAATATGTGACAGGCACATCCATGTCCTTTATACCAAACACAGCTGAGGGCAGGAGTAAAATCTGTAGGGTCACACTTTCACGTTTTAGGAAAACAATTACATCTAAAAACCAGTTAGTTTGGGAAAAGTTTGTTGGGTTTTTTTTAAAATATATATATTTTTTTAAGTTGCTTCCTACTTCTGTTAGTTAGACATCTAGACAGTTATTTGAATTTCAGGGCTTTGAAATTTCATCATCATTTTTCAATATCATTTGGGAATTTGTGTGGTTTATTCGTTTTGAACACTTACTCAGTAGAGCTTAACATGCACCATAATGTGTGTGACTGTCTAACAGAACCTGGAAATATGCTTGTTCTGTAGCCCTGGCTTTTTATGGAAAATGAGAGTGTGCTAGGCATACAAAATGGTATAAAGTCATGGAACAGCAAATCAAACAGCTTATAAGCAGTAAAGTGAAGCATCTGTACATTACCTGCATGTGTTCCATTGTTTCCAGTGATGTTTGGAGTCAGAGCTGTTATTAAGGCACTACTTCTGAGGTTAATGACAGGAGTGGAAGTTACAGTGTTTTCTGAAGAAGTTTTTTCAGTTTTACAGTCAGCTGGTTGGATAGCCGTCTTGATGGAGATTTCTTTCTTGGTTGGTAGCGTACATGTAGTGTTGCTTTCATTTTCTGTGAATGTGAGCAATGAAAAGGCTGTGAGATATTGTTAATATTTTGGCACCCTAGTCTAGAAAAATCTCATGGATAGCTATTGTATTGCTGCAAAATGCGGGTAAGTTGATGGTGGATATTATCCACAGCAAAAAAAAAAGAAAGGTAAAGCTGTTCAGTATAAACAAATGTGAAACGCTGCTCTTACCAAAACTTACCCAATGTAACATTGGAGGCAGTTAGCCATATCTGTAAGTCAAGGAGGTCACAGGAGCAGATCCATGGGTTTCCAGCTAAAACAATTTTAATCAATTTAAAAGATGATTTTATATGAAGGTAGTTCAGTAAGTTACACTGTAGATTTAAAACCGTCAGGCTTTCTAGAGAAGTAAATGCATCTGAATCTAATTGAGCAATCATGTTATAGGATAGATTCAACACAGAGAGTTGATTTAATCCTGCAAATGCTGCTTTATGAACTGTGCTAATATGATTGTTGCTGATATCCAGATTTATGAGTTTTTTCAGATTGCAGAAGCTGTTCTTGTGCAGTTCAGTAATCCTGTTTTTATTCAGATGAAGTTCAGTGAGGTTAATAAAACGTCCAAGAATCTCTTTGTCACTATCTTTTAAAGTGATTTTATTGTTTTTGAGGCTTAATTTAGTAACGTTTTGAGAAAGGTTGGTGGGGATATTAGAGAGGTTCTTTCCAGACTCGTCACAAATGACCTGCTGAAAAAAAGAGAATGACGACAATTAAATACTGTACAAAAGTCTGGTAATGAAGATGTCTCATTGATGACTGTTAAAGGCAAATATGATCTGGTATTTTTTTAATGCTGCCACTTTAAAAGAAAAGTTCTACTGCTCTTCATGCAGTTTTATTTATGTCTTTCTTAATTAATTTATGATCTGGTGATACATGAGAATTAATCTTCCTAATGGATAAAGACCTGAAGTTCCTGACGACTTAGTGCTTTAACTCTATATCATCATATAAAGTGCAAGGCTCTTTATATGATGATCATCCAAAATATAACCACTATGACATGCTATTTTGGAATTAATAGGGGCGTCTGTTTTAAAATTTGAAATGAAGCTTGACTGGGTAGAAAAAGGATTTCTTTCCCATATAATCTGGAACAGTGTCACAGAGGAAGTTTATTCTGCAAATTAATTCAAGTACACCTTTTAAAATGAATTGTTTTAAAAATACCTATGTTTAGTCTTTAAAACATCTTTAGAGCAGACCCTCAACAAAACATTTATTATATTTTTTTCGTATCACCTAAATTAATTTTAATTTTCTGTGTTGAAGTTTAGCATAGCTGCAGTCTTTTCAGATTGGAGTGTTTACTCTCAATACCTTGAAATACTTATGTTTTTTGAAAAGAAGAGATTTATTTATATATGTATAGGAGGCATTCCTGTTGTCTGTGGAGGAATTTGTCTGAGATATAAAACCATCTCAAATGTGTTTCAGTGATGATTCACCCACTTACAATGACTGCCATCAGTTAATTGTCCATTTCTCAGAAAACCAGTTCTTATTTGTCTTTTTGTACTTCTTTCTTCAGGAATTTTATGTTTTTGAAACAGTTTTTAAAATGCCTTCTGCTTCAAGTGTGTCTTTCAAAAATAAGAGTAGTTCATATCCGTATAAAACTTACAGTTTGGGAAGTAATGTTGCAGTCAGCAGTCACTGGATTCAAAAACAGTGTTCCAACCCATATCACAAGCCAAGAATGTTTCATGTTTAGAGCCTAGTAAAAAACAACACTTTTGTATACCAAGACCAGAATACCAGTGTCTACTGTTGTGGTAGTTTAATAAATTAATAGGTATAGTAATTTCCATGACAATTTAATAAATTTTGTTCTACATAAATATTGGAAATGCAAAATTAAGCAGAAAAACAGAGGCTATCAGAATTAATGAATTCAACTTTCCCTTAATTGAGCCAAACTTAAAATCCAGTAAGCAAACTGTATCAGTAAATAAAAAAGGGATTGGTTAGACAAGTTAATAGGTAAAAGTTTCATAGATGTGTAAAACAAATAGGCAGGGCTGTACTCATTAATATCCCTGACAAAGCCATTATGGGTAGTGGAAGACTGTGGTAGATGTAAACTGCAGAAAGTATTCAGGCTGGTATGCTCTCCCTAAACACTTTCCCTTGTTGCCACTGACAGAGGCAGAATACTGCAGTAGATGGATGGTTGGTTTGTCCAGTCCAATTTCTTTTATGTTCTTAAATAAGTTATTAAGCACTTTTTGTGAATTTTCAACTATTAGATTGGTATTTTAATCTCACTGTTGTCCCTAATATAACATATCATATGGCATAAACCTGGACCTCCGTATTGCACGAAGTAAACATGGTTCAATCTCTTGTGATGGAGTTTTTGTGCAGATTTCAGCTTTCATTTTTTGAAATTCAACAAAGTTCCTACAAATTTCCTACACAGTTCCACTGTGACATTAACGTCTCTCAGAGGAAGTGGCACTCATTATTCTGTTTGAATTAGGCGTTATTTGCAGGATCTCTTCCTTTTGAACTATGTCTGGCAGATGTTAAGTCAGTCCCTGTTTGCACCACACTTGAAGGAAAATGTTACGTAAAAGGTAGATTAATGTTTAATTTTTGTGCTTTTTCTTAAGCATCTGAAAAGATAGTGGGTTAAGTGAATCTCAATATCTCCTTCCAAGACTTCTATCTTCCAGAGTAAAAAGGACCTGAAAGCTAGAGTGTAAGGTACTTGCTTAAAGTGCTTATTGTGTCTTGAGCTGTACAGAGTATTCACTGAATTTAACAGAGTGGAGGAAATTACATAAGGAAGCTTAGTTGCATGAACAATGCTAAATATAGGCAGCCAGTTAGATTTTAAAAAACTCCACCATCCTTAAGGAAAGTGCCAGGAGGCCTCTGCTGATGAGAATGGAATAGGTGAGGTCATAGAACAAATTGATCAAGTCACTTAATAGCTTCTATATATTTGCATGTCTGAGGATTGACCTCATTCACCTAACTGAATCAGCCCAGAGACTTAATAACTTCTAGGAAAGAAGAGGAAGATAAGAGCCACTTACTCTGCTCTGATCCATTGTGTATTTCTACTTCTGCTGGAAACTTACATTAAATACAAAAAGATTTCATAAACCTTTTGTGCCTTTGAGCCATTATCAGGGACAAAGGGTGCTAGCATCAGCAGCCACCGTGGAATTATGTCCTGCCATAGGTATCGCTCTTGTCACTGATGGTACTGGTGGCCTGCATATTTTTGAAGCCAGATTGTGTATTGCTAATGGAAAACATGATGCAGTTTGAGAACTCCAGAACTATTTTAATAGTTGGAACTTAGGACATATTTTGTCCTTAAAGGCACTGCTTCCAAGGTATTTGGAAACAGAGTGGGTCTTAACCTGGTAATGTAGAAATACAGATTAATGGTAATATTGCACTTTGCGGACTTTAAGAAAAGAACTATCTTTAATAGAGTGGGGAAAATATATTAAATATTGTTTTTAAAGTTAATCCATAAGTTAATAACAATCAAGTTGAAAATTTAAGTTGTACACGTGTCTTAGTGAAAAACAGTTCATAGTTTTTACTTTAGTTTCTACTGAAAGCTTAGGGGTTTTTTTACAAATATGATTTCCTGCATTTTGTGTGTGTGAACCTGTATAATCAGTAGAAGAACAGGAAAGCATCTGTAATTTAGTTGCAGTTTAGCTCTTTACCAGAACCAGACTTTAAGAATTGCTGTTTAAACTAATTGCTATGGGAAGAAACTCAACCTGGAAATACAGTGGTAATATTTTGCCATTTTCTTGTAATTAGAAGTGCTTTCTTAAAAATGTTCTTCTGAGAACTTTGAAGATTTTAGCATTTAATAGATGAGGTAATAGACTTTATACAATCGGGTAGTCTGTTCAGAGACTGTTCCCCAGCTTTCTAATGAAGTACAATTTACTTAACAACTTCACATGTCCAAGGTTCATAGTAATTCCTGAAGTTTTGAGATGTATTTGTTTCCAGACTAGCAACAAAATTACACTAATAAATCTTTGCCTGAATTTTTAATTAGATGTACCAAGTGTCTTACCTTTCTGTTGCTTCTTAAAGGCAGCATATGTACACATGTGTGGGTTTTTCAATGCACTGACAAGAAATAACATGGTGAAACAGCACTTTGTTTTGCTTCAACCTTTGTACTTGATGAATAACCAGGCAGTGTAAAAAAAATAATAAACCTGGAAAATCCTTAGCAAAAGATTGACTAAGTTGAGCAACTTCTTATAATCATCTTGGATTTAATTGGATCTGCAGCCAATAGGAATGTCTAATAGTATTATGCTGAAGTGTCAAGTTCCAGATCATAGAGGAAGCACTGAGTCAAAATGCCATAGGTAATTTACAAGCAAGTTGAGTTATAATCAATTAAAGAAATGCTGGAGACAGAAAAAGACTTGCTTTTTTTATGTGATTATTCATCAAATGAGGGAAATGTCAAGGTATTTGCATACTGAAGTAAAACTCTCTAGTAGTTAGTTAAATCTGTGTTAATTCTTGTGTTTTGGAAGCATCATCAGAGAAACTGCATGGTGTGATACATAAAGCTCATTATTTACAAAGAATTGCAAGCACCGTTAAGTACATGTGTTGTAAGGGCTATATTTCAGGAAGAAGTTCTAAAATGATATTTGCACTGATTTGGTAACATATATAGAGAGAGAGATTGAAAAGGGATTATATTGATACAAACACTGTGTCAAATAAATTTTTGCTTGCTTTAGTGCTCATGCTGTCCAATGCATACCATCAAACTATGGAACAGCTAAGTCTCCTTTCATTCTCCATTCCTTTCAAACATGTGCCTGGAGATGTCATTTTACTTCAGTATCCTTCTTTGATCTTATTGCCACTTTGTTTTTTTGCTTAACATCTCTTAACATTCTGCAATTTTTCCAAGCCTCATCCCCGGCTCAGCTTCATCCACAGTCTTCAAATTACTTGTGGTAATGAATTGTGTTTCTGTGATGGCCACAAAATCCTGACATTTTTATTACCTCTTGGAAAAGCAACCAGTTTCAGCCCTCTGTCAGAAGTTTTCTTCCAGAGAAGATTCATCACAACTAAATCAGACACTCCTAGTCTCAAAAACATGCTGGATCATCTTGAAGTATTTAGCCAGGAGTCCATATTACATAAGAAAAGGAGAGTTGCCTCAGGTGAAGAGGCTAGTCCGTAATGTTTCCACACACAGTTTAAATAGATGGGGCTGGAAAACTAGGGTCCTTTCCTTACCCAGCCGTGCATATTTGCAGTCTCAGACATAGAGGAGAAATATACAATAGAGCTTGGAGACACTACTGCTCTCAAGAGTGGTATTGCCATGCCACTACTTCCACATGGTATTTTGGAACCCAGGATAAATGTAGCAAGCTGTGTTCTTCTCTCCCACCCTAAATGTTCCAGTGATCTCCAGGAAAAGGTACCGTGTTTGTACTTAAATACTCTCTCTAATCAGCACTGCAGTCCCTCCAGGAGAATTACATCTAGTGTGGAGATTCCTTCTGGAATCAGCAGCTATAACATTTTCTTGAATTCTTCACTGCAATTTCTCTGTTCTTCCATGTCTTCAGTTGGGCTTGATCTGAGAGAAACTGTCACTGCTGAGATGTTACAACAGCTTTCATAGGCCCAGACTGAGGCATGTGTCCAATAGGGAAGTTACATGAAAGCTCCCTGCCAACTCCCAGTTCTATGCTTTCCAGCAGGTCTTGTATCAAACTACTCTTGTAGCTTAAAAATAACTCCTTTCCACTACCACATGTAACATAATTATACATTCATAAACTAGTGTACTTGCAGTGAGGGCCTCATTCTTTGGACTGTATCTGAACCAACCGCTCTCAAGAGGGTATTAAATTTAATGTCATAATACAACCATCCAGTATTTCTTGAACAGTCCCAATGCACTCCAGATTTGCTGCATTGGAAAGTGGGAGACCATCACTTTGATTTGTTGCATCATCATCATCAGAGTCCAAAGCATCTTTGCAGCACAAACTGGTCACATGACAGAATTTCTACTTAACATCCTCAGATTCTTGGAGAGTATAAATCTTTCTTGAAGATCTTCAAGATATTGAAAACCTGCCTAAGACACTGAAAACGTGCTCTAGATGACCATGTTTGATTAGTGCACAGGCTGGACCAGGTGACCTTCAGAAGTCTATTCCAATGTGAAGTCTACTCTGCTTCTGTGATATTTTCATTATTCCCTTACCCTGAGATTATCATTGTGCATCATCTATTTTGCATCATCTCTTAAGCCTGAGTGCATTCTCGACTGCAGTCTTTGATCCAATAGTGTTAATTACACAAATTACAACTTTTGGCATCTTGCAACTCAGGAAGAGTTAATGAAAAAGAGAAGAAAAAAAATCCTGAAGGAATGTATTCAGCTGATTTTGTCATTCTTTAAGAAAGAATTCACTCTGGAAACAAGCAAACCATTTAAGCAGTGTTTAAAGAACAGTGAAGGAAAGGAAGGTATACTCTCTAGGGTTTCAGGAGCTTTTGTTAATTTCCTTTAGCTGTGTTCTTAAATTGACTCTCTGGCTTTCATGAATTTCAAAGAAACTATTAGACTTGATACAACACAGTGAGAACAGTTCTTTATGTGTTCCTTGTTTCTGCTAAGACAGTTGCTTGTAGCTCACTATAGCTGCAGTGGTAGAGTTTTTATGTTTGCAGCCTATTGATTTCCTAACGATTAAATTCATGAATCAAGAATGTTAGGAATGCCTAATTTCTTACTTATTGCATGGTTAAAAAACTCTACACTGCTTAAGATGCTGAACTCACTCTCCATTCTTCAGAATTCTAACAATTCATTGCAAAAAGAAAGTAATCTTTTCATCATCATCTGGTACCATCAAGTCCTGATGTCTATGTTATATGTTTTCTTTATGTGCATCCACAAATCACCTACCAACTTCTTTATTTCAAACTGCCAGATGTTACTCTGGAAATTCACCTGTTAAGAGCAACTGAGAGAGAGTAGTCTGCTTTTACCAGTGTTGAGGCCTATGCAGTTAGACAGGTTGGAAGTGTTGGAAAGCAGTATGTGGGTATTGTAGGGGCAGGGAATTCTTCAGCTTCTGTATTTCACAGTGTGAATGTTTGTATAGCTAATCCAGCTCCAAGAAGATTAGATACAAGTGGGTAACTCCTATTTTTTAGAGTCTGGAGTTTTTGTGCTAAAGGACCATTTCAGTGAGGGTGAAGGAATACTGAAGTTTGAAATGAGTGCTTACAAAAAACATCAACTAGTAAAAGTTACAAGAACATTGTATTTTTACAGCACGGAAAAGTTAATTCAAGCTGTAGAAGAAGATATTGAACATGAAAAGGTTGTGGCAGATGACATAATGAAAGATATGTCGCAGGAAGATCAAGCTAAATATATGGAGATGAAGGCTGCTAATGAAAAACTCTCCCAGGTTGGTTTGTTTCACTCTACTTACCTAAAATATTTTTTAAGCAGGCTTCAAGGGTTGTAGATTTAAGTACAAAAGAGCTTTACAACAGACTAATAGAATAAAAAATCTTACTGGTATCTTAATCAATTGTAAAAGTGCCTGAAAATAAATAGAGCAATTGACTAAGACTAAGTACTTTCTCTTTTTATATTTCTTTTTTTAAGAATAAACAGTGTTCCTAATTTTTCTTTTAAATTTGGGGACTGACATGCAGATTTTAAAAGCCGCTGCAATGCTTACATGTTTCATCATGTGTAAAAAGCAAGCAGAAGGGAAAAATAACCACAGCAGTTTTTGTAGTTTTGTAGTTTTCTCCTTGTGTACAGAAGTGAATCTGACTAGGTTTTTTCTGTTGTTATTATTGTATGTCTCAATATATCAGAAAAAATTAAGTGGGCTTTATAAAATATTTGTGACTTCATTATTCCTAATGATAACAACAGGAGTAAGATTTCTAGGCTCTCTGACATGATCTGCCTTAAGTTATACAGGCTAAAAATGTCTCTGTATAGTATATGCAGAGATGACACCAGTGTTTCCCAGCTGTCTTAGGATGAGCTGAATCAGTAGACAGGGCCAGTCTCTTTCTGGTCTATGAAGAAACTGTGGTGGCTCGTTCAGATTTTAAAATCTGACTCTAAACTTCTGAAGTAGAAATAATAAGTTCCACTCTCAGTACCAATTTTAAGAAAAAAATAGTAGAAAAAGGGCAATTTTCTGGTCATAGCCCAACTGTAAATAACATTGATAGGAGTAATAGAAAAGTTGGATGCTGAAAGTAAGTGGTTATTACATTTGAGTTACTTAAAGGAACTGGAAACAGTCTTGTCTTTAAAATTTTTAAGAGCAGCAGTAAGACCCTTTACAGCATTTGATAAATACTAGGGTTTAGAACCGAAAAGTAATCAAGTAGTAATTTTTATCTGAATTTTGCACTTTTTTTCCTCTTTAGGAATTGGTTGTTCAACAGCAGGAACTGGATGTATTAAATGTAAAGGAAGAGAATCTAAGAGCTGTATGTATGATAAAAAGTGGTCTCTGTACCATCTTTAGTGTAAAAAATAATACAGTAGAAAAATACCAAATTTTTTTTCCTTAAATTTTCAGCTATTGCAGGATCATACCCTAGAATGGGAAGGCAAAGCTGCCTCTTTGTTTTCCACCAATAATTTCTAATCAGTTTTGGGTAAAAATTCTTTTTGCTAGATGCCAAGTACAAAATTTTGATAGCAACAGTGAGCTTTCCTGGATTTAGTTACTCCTGCAGTTTCAGATGTTTTCTGTGACATTTGATGGATTTAGAATATCTCTCTAAATTAACATCCTTCTTAAGGATTTTTGTGACTTAATTTTTTGATATATTTTAAATTTTCAGAATGTCTGAGATTGATTTTCTTGTTCCACATTTCAGTTCAAAAGCAATTGGCATTTCAAACACAGTGGTACCAGCTGATGTATTTTTTATTCCATATACATACATAAATGCTCATTTTTAATACACTTTCATATTGCTAGATTGAGAACAATGTTCTCATATTGCCTCCTCCATGGATTAAACGATCTCTGAGCAGAAAAAGACAGTCAAAAAGTATAGTTTTCAAATACTGTTAGACATTTTTCAGTCCTTTTAAATATTGTATATGGTTGGAAATCCCCTAGATATG